GGTCACAGAGAGGAAACGGTTCCAATCAGGGAAGCCTGTATCTGTCGCCCTCTATTGGGAATTCCGCGGCTGCCACGTTCAACCTGACCTTTCCCCAGCAGTTTGTTCTGGTTCTGATCTGGTCGCGTCGGATGATTTCCCAGAGTGCATCACTCCAGAGCTGAGACCGTGTTTGTTGACGTGTCCTCTTTCTGCATTATTAATCTAATGTTTCAATGAATTTCAAACAGCATGAGTCTGCTTTGATGCTGAGGAGGAGGGGCAGTGGGGGGGGGGCGGTGAGGAGGTCTGAGGCTCAGAACACAGAACAACTGCCTTCTGGGAAAATATTTCTGCTTCTTTGATGAAATTCCTCATTTTGTTTAAAGGAAAACACCGTCGTCATTGGTGGGAGACACGTGTGCACTTCATGGTCACTGACAGACAGTACTGACAGACAGTACTGACTGACAGTACTGACTGACTGTACTGACAGACAACTCACTGTATTTAGGAGTTTCAGATATTCTTGTAGTTTGATTCAGTTCCTGTTCCTTCACAGCAAAATATAATAATAAAGACACCGAGACACTGATGTGAGAACGGAGCCAACGATCTGACAAGATTAATACTGTATCAACAACACACTGTGTCCGACTGCAGAGATGAGAGAGATTTAAGACCCGGGAATGAAGATCCACTGTGTTCATCATCAGTGAAGGAACGTCAGAGAACCAGGGGAGAACCAGGGGAGAACCAGGGGAGAACCAGGGGAGAACCTGACTGCTACTGTCCGATGAAGCATGCAGGCAGTTCACTCTGCATCAACATCAAACTGACCCTCAGCTTATCTGGGAGACATGTTTGCTCATGTCCAGCCCCCGGGGTGGGGGGGGGAGAACCAGGGGAGAACCAGGGGAGAACCAGGGGAGAACCAGGGGAGAACCAGGGGAGAACCTGACTGCTACTGTGGTTGATGTAGTTGATGTAGTAACGTCTCATTGGTCAGTACTCAGTAACGTCTCATTGGTCAGTACTCAGTGACGTCTCATTGGTCAGTACTCAGTGCAGTAGTAACAGTTGGCCAGTAACAACACAGCTGCTGTTGTTTTAACACCTGAGGTGGCAGAAGAACAGGAGTTGTCGGTTGAATGCCAAGTCTTTGGACACAGATGATGATGATGATGAAGATGATGAAGATGATGATGATGTCCACCCACTGCTCCACATCTGTCAGGGTGTGTGTGTGAATGTGTGTACGATGTTCTCACAGTCCATGAACCCATGTGTTTAATCAAGTGTCACTGTGGCTGTTTACTCCACTGTACAGTGCACTGTACGGATGTGTGTGTGTGTGTCCTAAAGGCACACACACACACACACACACACACCCTTCTGTTCGACCTTGTGCGTCTCCTCATGATTAAGCGTGTTGCGGCGCTCCTTCGTCAGCGGCGCTCCTTCGTCAGCGGCGCTCCTTCGTCAGCGGCGTCATATAAATATTCGCTTTCATAATTATTTCCTTTCACCTTCCTGATTGGTTCTTCAGGGTGTGGTGTTTCAGTTCGTACACACAAGACAAATGACTTCACCAAACTGAGCCCAGAACCAAGTCGGACGTTTGGAGTAATTACTGCAGTATTACTTCTACCACTACTGCGTGTACTTCAGTCTCAGCTTCCCTGGCTTTGGTCTGTCCACATACTGGGACGACACTCTCTTCATCTGAGCTCTCTGTGGGGGTGGGGGTCAGGGTCAGGGTCAGGGACCAGGAGGTACCGGAGGTCACAGAGGTCACAGAGGTTTTTGTTCTTTACTGATTTCCAATGGAGGAACCTGAACTCTGGATTTACTGTCCAATCAGAAACCAGCGGCTGTCGTGGCTTGTCTTCGTTCTGGAGGACGGTCTACGTCACACACCGTCCATGGTCCTGGTCCTCTACTAGTCCACTGACCCACTATGAAACAACCATCGACCTGAAGTGGAAGTTTTTCTTCTTCATTTTAGAGAAGATGATTTCACCAAATCATTGAGGTGAACTGGTCCATGGTCCAGGTTTAACTGCTGGTCCATGGTCCAGGTTTAACTGCTGGTCCTCGTTCTTCTGGTAACCACGTGTCCTCGTGCCCTGCTTTATCATCTATTTTATTATTAATGGGACCATAAAAACAGTGGCTCGTCTTTAACGAGCTCCGTATATTAACATTAAATGAGGTTATAAATCAATGACAACGAGGCTCGTTTTCTTACACATATTTAAAAACGGTGCCCCTGTTGATCAGTCGAGAGAATGCAGGTTTGAGATGCTTTTATTCTACAAAAAAAAAAACACACTTGTATTGTTAAAATTGGAAAAAGAAGAAAAGTCTGTGGACAACAGTAAAAACAAACTAAACCTCTCTGTCATTCCAGGAACACACTTGTATTG